TTTCTTGTGCCCAGTAATGCATAATTTCATTTGATAAACACGTTTAGATTGAATGGTAATTTATAATCAGTCACAAGAACGTCGAATCTGAATCACTTGAAAAAAACACGGGGGTGCTTAACTTTTTTCCAGGTGTATAGTTGCAAAAATACTTTTCGGATCAGTATTGTGTACAGATTTACAATATTTTCTATAAATGAAAATAAAAAACAAATGGAATCAAAATGAGGCTAGATGAGGCTCTGTATATCCCTTACTTTTGGAATTTATGGAATGAACTATGTAAACACAGACCAAGAGATCAAAATTGTTTCACTGTAACATGTGAACTTGGCATGAAACACAAAGTTTAGGTTCTCAAAATCAATACTTCACACAGAACTTTAACTTAATCAGAAAATTTTCAAATAGAAAATGTTTTTTCTGTTTACTCACCAATACTTTTAACTCTCTGTGGCACTGGCCGTCGAAAAGAAGTAATAAACTTTCTGGCATCAAGCCTTATCTCAAAAAGATTGTTTAGTAGAGCAAAAAGAGGAGCAAGTGGGAAAGCTGCTACAAAAATTGTGACAAATCCAAACTGTAAAACTGCATGAAACAACAGAAAACAAATATAATCCTGTTAAGACCTGATTAACAATATAATATATATAGCAGATAAATAGGCAGCATTTCTCATTTTTAATATTACTCACTTCATTTTTTAAGAAACTTCTTCAAAACTCAATATTAATCATTTCTGAAAAAACAACAACAATATAAACTGTTACTCAAGTAACAAAATTAAATCTTTTCAAACATTGTATAATGCAAACTTTAAATAATCTCCACAAAATACTACTAGTTGTCATAGATAGTAGCCTATGTAATGACTTACAGTATACTAACTATGGTGAAAATTGATATATGATTGCCAAAACCTTATCATAAGTATACATAAAATATTACTTCTTTTTAGTATCTTACACGTAACTGTTCAATGTTGCTATAGCAAATGTACAAAAATATCAACATAAATACATACGGTTCCTTGCAAATGAGTTGAAACATGTTAAAAAATAGTTTATCTTATCCAAAAACAAAAAATTTAGTTTAAATCGTTAAATGTATTTCCAAAATGGTATTAATTTGTCATTTATATACAAACATCCTCACAAGTTTCAAATCTCAACAGTCATAGTTCTAATATGATAAAACCACTACAATAAATTTGTAACAGCATCTGAAATTAATTTAAGTTACTGGTATAGCGGACCTTTAACTTGAAATTTTACTGGTCTGCAAGATTCACAGTGTTAAGTGCTAGGCCTAGCCATGAATACAAGTGATAAACCTTAATGAATCATGAAATACTAACTCAGAAACTAATGTGATTTTAACAATACTTCTACTGAATTAAGTCTAATTAATGCATTTTATTGAGCTTTATAATTACTAACGTTCCAAAATTTTCCAGCATTATTTTACTTCATCAATAGAGAACACTTCACAAGATATCTCAAGGAAATCATAATTTGATTATTATTAGTAGTTAAGTTTGTTTTTGTTTGTTTGATTTGGAAATATTAGCAAAAACTACAGAAGAATGCTCTGTGCTAGTCATTTCTAATTTTGAACTGATAGAAGGGAAGTGCAGATTGTTAACAATGCCCACAGCCAGCTCTTGGTATTATCAAATTGTTGAATTTGACCATCACTATTACAATGCACCTATAGCTCTGAAGTGCAAAATATTATTTTTTTTAATGGAACAAGAACCAGTATTTAAGTATCATCTTCAGAAAAAAAAAATAATAATAATTGTCATTTCACATATAAGTAACTGACAGGGTCATACCAAGGGTACGCAAGCAGTGCGCTGACCTGTAGAGAGTGCAAGTTTACATCTTTGAAGAAGGAAAGTATAGATTAGATTTTTTTAAGAAGTGGAGCAGAATTTATATTTTGCACAAGGCACCATCAACAATCAGTACAGCCCTGACAAATGGAGTCAATTCATTAAAATAATTACAATTAGAAAAATTCTGAAATCTATTGTAGATTATTCTTTAATAATTAAAACCTGTGTGGAATAAAACATATCAAGAAGTACGCAAAAAGAAATAAAACTTAGGAAAGTTATTTTGTTACTGAAAAACAGATTTATTTCAAGAAGTTGTGTTTTGAATCAATGAAACAGCAATTATTTTGACATTAAGTACAGACAGTTTTGGTGTTCTATCAATTACTATTGGCTCTTAAACTGATGCTTGTGCATTTAACATAGGGCAATAATTAAAAATACTTTTTATGTACAAACACATCCATCTTAACTACAACCTCAGTTCTCTAGCAAACGATTCATATTTTTTACCATTAAGAAAACTTTAATATATGTAGAAGAAGCAAAACATTATAATTAAAGCTGAAATTGAAATCAAATATAATGAAGACAATATATTGTTTTCCCAATAAAAATTATGCACATCTATAAGGTCAACATTAAGAGATTTTGAGTTAGTGATTGCAAAGTTAGTTAGTGCTGTTCATTTAAGTTTTGTTACCTATGTGCGTAATACTGTATGAAAGCTGACTGAAGGCTATACTGAGTATTATAATGGTACTGCTTGGGGAACGGAGAGTTAATTAGGTAAGGCAAATGAGAACATAGACTTAGCCTCAGTTAACAGATACATAATATTATCTTTAGATATAATTAAAAATATTTAAATCTCTAACTTTCTAATGCTAGTATGGGTTACAACTTGTATTATACTTCTCTAAAAACAATTTAACCTTTATGAAAATCTTAATGATGGAACATTATTCAATGCAATTTTATACATTTTTCTGAAGTTGAAGTAGACACTTAACATGAACCAAACTCTGCTTGTTGAGTAGATATTGTCGTAACGATCTATTAAGATATCAAACCTCAAATGTTGCACAACTTGGTCTTTCCTTTAATTATTGGTTCTAAAACTAACAACCCTTTAATAAACAGACCTTAAGCTACTTAGTTTTTTTCCCTCTTATACTATGTGTCGCAAAATATGTTTTTTAACTAAATGCAATTTTGAAAATGTTTCTAAAATATAGAAAATTGAGAGTGCCAGTGTGTAATTAACAACTTACTTTATTTTGAAACAATTCATTTTTCAAAACACCAACTTTTTCAAATAAGATCATGCTTTTTTTTCATCCAGTGGATGTTATTTGTCCAAAACTGATTAAGGCTTATCAGTTGAGTAAATGCTCTCTCAAATCTTCAAAATTTTTTACTTCAAGAAAATAAACACTTTTATACACCAAAATCAACTAGGTATGTAATCCTTAAGGTCAGAATTATAAGTCAACGAATAACAACTAATTATAAGAACAAAAATATTTGCAACTTAAGGAATTTTAAAAGGTATATTCCCAAATACCTGCTTTTCAAGTTATTCACATAAATATTTTCTAATCATTTAAATACCATGACATCAAAGTAATTATTCGATAACTATCAGTTAATATACTTTTAATGCTCAATACTCAAATACAATACAAGAAAAGCAGCACTGTCCCACTGAACACAGTAGTGAAAATATGGGTTTCCAGAGTGCCTGGTCATAGGCAAGATAAGAATTATAGTGATATCTGATACTTTTACTGGCACACAGGTGTTGTGTATGTGGATATTAATATAATTTGACAACAATTACTTATAACAATAATTTCAAGCCAATATCATTTACACAAATTGTATGAAAAAAATTAAATCTAATATTATGAGTAGCTTTGAGAGAAAGAACACATATAACTTCAAATTTCTGTAAGTTGTCAAAAACGACTAAGATACAATAAGAAAAAAGTGTGACACATACAACATACAATAACATTATATGTTTCTTTTCTTACCATCTACAGTAATTTTGAGTTGAAAATAAAATGTTATTATGTTTCCCTACCTGTAAATGTAAAAGAAAACCCATAGATCAAAATAAAATATCACACCCACCCAATGTTCTCAGATTTATATATTGGATAAGGCTGATGCAACAATATCCTGTTACATGTTTCAAAATGGACCAGTACCTGGTACTCTTACCAGTCTACTATCAATGTAGGTACTGACTACAAATGAAGTGTTACAAACAATTCAAATTTATTTTCAAGTTTCCTTGTAAAATGTTTTTCAATTTATAAAAAGCAAAAGTATAAAGTTATTTATAGCACTTCCAATATCAGATTCACTTGAGCACTTAATTAATTCCTGCAAAATGTGCTGTGCACGATTTTCATGTAATTATAAATATGGCAAAGAGAAAAAGTACACTTTTCAAATTTTTCCAACCTTCAAAATTAAGACAAAAAAATTAATTACTTTTTGCCTCTATTTATTAATAATCATTAGTAAAGAAGTTTTATGATCAATTTATGTTACTAGGGTTTTATCATATCTAAGGGTTTCAGATATATTATGAAACATTTTAAATGAGACCAATTTCTCCAATTTACTAGTTTTGTCAGTTGAATAATATGCTTATGGAGTAGAAATGATGCAAGAATGACACATTTTTATGACATTTTATTTAACCTATGCTCACAATATGATTATCAAATCAGCAGAAAAATCATGAATTTTTGAAGGATTTAATTACATTTAGATGTAGTCTTGTGGTAAAAATTATTGTAAAATAATTAACACATTAATTACCCATCTCAGAAATAAAATATATTAACAAAAAAACAATTGTCAAGTAATTAACGAAAATTAGTTAAGTTATGCCTCAAAGAAATATTTCACTTTTGCCATGCTTAATCTTTTATTTTTTTAAAAACTGCAGAGAGAGCTACCAACACTTATAATCGGTTCTTTCCACAGTTTGAATGAATTGTATTTCTGAACAAGATATTGCAACTTCTTACTTGGAGGGGTCAAATTTAGAAGCAACTTGTACAGATCAGCATGGTTACAATACAAGTTCTGGTAAAAATAACCTGCTCTGAATGTTTGATTTAAATGATTAAATTGTACATGACATCACTCAAGATTATCCAAAGTTTCTTTCTGCATATAAAACTTTAAAAAAAAAGTCTTCAGTGATATATAATTCGATTTTAGCAATTAAATAATTGTTTCAAACTAAGTGTTTTACTGTTTATTGGTGACTAAGCAGTTTATAAATTTCACTGATTCTTCTGATGACTTTAGATGAAAATCACTTGCATGCATGAATCTTCAGTTTCCTTATAAAAGAAGAAAAAACATCTAACTTTATTAAAATAAAACTAATGAACTTTTTCTCCCCCACCCCCCATGCATTCCTACCATTGTGTTATCCTAAATATCAGTGTAGCTTTTGAAGACCCTAGCAAATTTCTGAATTATAAGTTGAATATTGCTACTTCAAGTGTAACAAGAGCACAATTCTTGTTATTTCCAATGTACGAAATACAACTTTACTGATTTTTGTTACTAACCTTTTCTGGGTCAGTGAGCACCTTTCAGGTGTTAAGTGCACATATGCATATCAAATTTTAAGTACAAAAAATATTTCTAACTTTATTTCAAACCTTTTTATAGGAAAATATTTTATGAGTTGATAATCTGACATTTTGTAGCATAAGTTTTTTTTATCTGAGGAGTCTTGCCTGTAAACTATACTAATGTAGATTTTAGAATTTTTCTGCCCATCCCAAAGCACATGTTTATATTTGCTAAGAAACTATCGTTCCTTGAGACTATAATTCTGAAGGCTTTGTTTCTCACGTGACTTTCCTTATCCTTATCTGAATTTTATAAGTTCCCACCCTTTTATAACCTTATAGTAGGTGACTGAACAAACTACTAATGAAACTCAGTTTAAATACCATTGAATAATAGTTATAAACTATTTACATCAATGTGGAGTGAATAAAGTTATGTGAGAAATAATTTATTGTTTTGTGGGAGTTATAAGACTTAGCTTGCACAAAGAACAACAATGAAATTTTATGGGAAGCTTAGATTGGTTTGGTTTGAATTTCACGCAAAGCTACTCAAAGGCTATCTGTCCTAGCCATTGCTAATTTAGCACTGATAGACTAGAGGGAAGGCAGCTAGTCATCACCACCCATTGCCAACTCTTGGGCTACTCTTTTACCAACAAATAGCAGGATTGACTGTCACATTATAATGTCCCCATGACTGAAAGGGCGAACACGTTTTGTGGGATGGGGATTCAAATCTGCAACTCTCAGATTGTGAGTCGAGTGCCTTAACCACCTGGACAGGCCAGGCCAGGAAGCTTAGAAGACTTAGGAACAAACTACAGACATAGAAAATTTTTTCATAGTTTCTTTAGACATTCTTTTCATTGTTGAAAATATTTTCATATTAATTCATATTTGTTTGAAAGCTACAACAAAATTCTTCAATATAAACCTTGTTACATTTAGAGAATAAGGTAGTTATAAAAATAAATATTCAGGTGACTCAGATCTGTATTTATTGAATGCTATTGTTGAATTTTAAGTATTCAAACAATGCATACAAGTAAAGAAACTTACGATTTACTGCAAACAATGTATATTTATTGATTACAAATTGAATACAAATTGATTTTGACTAAGAATATTGTGGGCAAAAATACTGTTAGATAGCCTAACCTAAAATCATTTTGAAAGGTCAGGCCTTAGGTCACCAATATATGCAGTACTTTTCACAATTTATAACCAAAACTGGTAATTATTTCAATCAGCAAAATAATGTTCAACAGAAATATGTTAATGCAAATCAATCAAATCTGAAATTATTTGAACAATTAAAATAAAATATTCTGATCAACAATAAATAAAAACTTAAATTCTAAGCAGTAAAAAAGTATTTTTAATGTTTTTTTCAAAACAAAATGTCTCAACAATATTTTGGAAAATTTTATGATGAAAAAAACAACAGAAAAACTAAACACACTTATATGAATTTTTTAAGCCTAAACTAGATACTATTCAGTAAGAATAGTGAGAAAAAAATACTTAAGAATTAGAAATCAGTGATACACCCCCCTTGTCCATAAACAATTAACTTTCTGTGCCGTACTATATTCAATATGAAATCACAAAGTCCCACATCAGACAATGCTTTGCTCAGTACCCATGTAGTCCACTTCTTAGGATGCAAAGCTTAATGACTACAACCATGCCCAATAAAACTGATGCATCCACAAAGTAGTCCAGTATGAAAGTTGTTTAGATGTGGTCACGAGTGGGGCATGTGAATGCAGCCAAAACCGTACATCTGGCAGCATTCTATGGGACAGTGATTTTTACACATACTTTAAGTAGTAACCAAAGAATTAACAAGTAACTTTTAGAAACAAAATTCACCATTTCTGAGATAAGTTAAAAACACATTAGGACTTCTATATTTCATGAACTCTCTCTTGAAAAAATGATTTCCCAAAGAAAAATAACTAATTTCTAGCAGTCCAGTGAAAATATATTTTTCCTAGACTTTGAGCATGTTTCTCTATTTTAGCAAAGTTACCCTGAAATTTCTAACCCTATAATAAGCAAAAATATTTTACAATACACTTACCCATTTCCAGATACTCAAAGAAAAGCCCATTTGATCCCCATTCTGATAAACTATAGTCACTTTCCCATTGGGCAATAATGTGTTTTCCACTCTTATGTTTCTCTTTTTTGTGCAAATGCCACATTTTACTAAACCATAACAGCCACCTAGGACAATAAAAATGTTTTTAAATCATATATATATCCACATACATGCTTTATTTAATCCTAAAGCTTGGATTATTCAAAAATATTCAAAAAATTTAAAGCCACATTGTGTTTTTTCTGACATAAGTTCACTCCTGAGTATGTGTTTCGTGCAATATGGTTAAAGTAGAAACCACTACTTGTTCTACAGCAACCACTGTACAGTGAAACATATTTTAGAAAGTCACACTGTAGTACCAACTAATTATTTATAAATTGACAGGCATACATACTTACGGTACTCCCATTTCAAAAACAGCATTAATAGCCTGCTTTCCAACCATAATAATGGCCAACTGCATAGAAAGCTCTAACAAGCAGCCTCCTGTGCCACACTAGAAAAAGAGGATATTAATAAATAACAAGAAATGCTATTTTTTCCATAAATAATTTATGCCCCCAAAATTTACAATTGATTACATGAAAAAGCACATTTATATTAAATTTAAATAATACACTAAGCAATAAAAAGTTTTAGGTTTTTTAATAGTGATTTTTTAACCTATTAGTTATTTAGAGTGAGTGTAACTAAATAAGATATTAAAAGAACATACCAAAAAACAAACTTAAAACCCACAAGAAAAATAATGTAGTTTGATTGTTCACAGCAATACTCAAAAGTTTGTGATAAAACAATAACGTACTCAGAAAAAGTAGCTAATTTTGTGTTTTAATGGTTTCAGACGTACAAGTGCAAATATGTAAATGCTTCCACACAGAAGAAACTAAACCTATAAAAGAAACTGAGCACACCCAGAAAATATAAGAATCAAAATTTTAAATACAACTGATAAAAAAACTCTTAGTCTGATTGGAATGCTGATTGTACAAGAATCTTTGAAAACATAGATCATTATTTAACAAAAACACTTTTTTTAAAGAAACATTAGCTTTATGCTATTTAAGGTTAGCTAATATATCCCTTTTAAATCTTAATGATGAATATAGGCCCATCATTTTAATTGCAATATCTAAAACATTATGATGGATATAAAAATTTAAGACAATAAAATTTCAATGTGATACACTTTAAACAACCCTTGAATTTCAAAATATATCTACTATAAACAGAAATAAAAACAAATTTGGGCAAAAATTGTGAGAAAAATCAGAAATAAAGAAAATAAGTTCTAAGAAATCTCACATTTAAAGAACTTACTGGTTTATATGCAAAATTAGCACAGATAACCCTTGAGAAGCTATTGCAAAAAATTCAGTAAGCAGATAAACATGAAAAATTTAGATTTGATTAGACAATTTGAAAACACTTCAGACCATGCATTAACTCTCTCACCATACTTGTCCGAGTGCAAAGTGATTTTCATTTTAAGATCAAAAATACTTTTCTTCATCTCAAAAATCTCAAATATCATTTGTGTAATCTCTAAAACCTAAATAAATTTTAAACGTGTTTTTTCAGTAAAACTTTTCATTTTATCTGTTATTATCCTACAGTCCTATAGTATATTGCCACAAGAAGCTTGTTCCATTCATACATACAAAAGTCCCTAAAGTAAGCTTCTCAGACAGGAAAGATTCAATAGTCGATGCAATAAATATTTATAGCGTGAAAGGGACTAGGATGAGAAACTATATATATATATTTTTTAAATGTTGTGTAAAAGCAGGACATGAATGAGACAATGTAGTACATGGATGGCAGGATGGAGCAAATGAATCCGTTCCCTATGAGCTCGGTTGATGTGACCAAGTTCAACCACAAAGTAACCACCAGAGTTTCCATACCATAACTTGTAATAGTATACATCTGCTTATATTTAATTTTATTGCCCTTTGAACCATCTCTAACTAATATTTGCACCATATAATTTGTAAATCATGTGGTGAACGTGCAACTCACGTTACGGTATAGAATTGCATAAGGCATGGACTACTAAGGGACATACCTTGTGAAAAATTATGATTATTCTTCTTTTTTTACCTTATCTAACATAAAAAGCTTTCAATTTTTACATTGTAGTTACTTTTATGATAATAATAAATAAAGAATACACATCAAAAACAAGAAATATAGTACTCGGCTTCCAAAATTTCCCAAACCATCCCACTCAGTGGCGTACTGATGGTGTGTGGTGCCTGGGAGCAAAATATAATTTGGTACCACCCAAAAAAAACAACGTTCCAACTCCACCCACCCTTTGTACTCTTACTTATTATCTACTAACCTTACATGGAAATCCTACCTACCATTGGTACTATATTTCACCATATTGTTATGATTATCTGGACCTTATGAGTTTGTTTGTTTGTTTTGAATTTCGCGCAAAGCTACACGAGGGCTATCTGCGCTAGCTGCCCGTAATTTAGCAGTGTAAGACTAGAAGGAAGGCAGCTATTCATCACCACCCACCGCCTTTGGGCTACTCTTTTACCAACGAATAGTGGGATTGACCATCACATTATAACACCCCCACAGCTGAAAGGGCGAGCATGTTTGGTGGGACGGGGATGCGAACCCGCGACCTGCAGATTACGAGTCGAGCTTCCTAACCACCTGGCCATGCCGGGCCTTATGAACAAACAACAGAAATATAAGGAGTCATGGAATGAGTTATGGAAATAAATTAATGGTACTTGCCAGTAATAAATTAAAATCCATGGGAAGTACTAACAAACACCCTTCCAACTTGAAAATGTGCACGTATCATGTGACTGATTCAGTTGCCCCTTGCATGGCTGTCAGACACATGAAAGTTATGGTTTATTCTTTATGAATTTGAATCATTAGCTAATTAAGATCTCTGGCTTGTATAACAATATATTGCATATTATACTTTACATTAATATTATTTGGGCCCCCAAAAACTCCATCGACAGCTTGAAAAATACAGCCTCAAATTGTCAGTTGTTTAAAAAATTACTACATTTCCTATCAATTATGAGATGTCTGTGTATTTTAATCAATCTAACACTGAAAACCAAGGGATTTCCCTAGGTATGATATTTCTGATAATATACTAATATTTAATGTCAAGCATAACAAAAACATTTTAGTTAGCCTTATTCTTATGGGAATAACTAAATTCTGGGTAAACTGGTTGTTAACCTGGCACCCAGGGGCAAATTCCCTCTTCTGCACTCCACTATGCTACTGATCCCACTTCCGCCCCCACCCCCCATGTAAAACACTGACACAAGGAGATCATCCATCTTATTCATTTCTAGCTTTTTCCCTTCAATAATATTCTGCAATATATTCTGCAATATTCTTTTTAACTTTAAACTTATTTCACTGACATATAGTGTCAAGCACACATTATCCAACATTACTTTAAGTAATTCATGGATGAATTACAAACCTAATAACATCAATTCTACTGCTATATCAAACTTAAAGCTATTAATGTATTACTCACTTCTTCTTGACAATATCCAAACAACAGAGAGTAATGTCCAGGATGTCCTCCGAACCTAAACAATTAAATTTTATATTTCAAATTATGCTTAAGTATGCTAAGTATGATTCCTGTAATGTTTTGGTAGCAAGCAGAATTTTAGGATGTTCCAGAACATTGTATATGCTATTTCTTGAGATATTATAGATACTATGAAAGAAGCATGTAGCTAAATGAGGTGGTAAATACCAGAACAGTAGAAAATATAAAAATAATTATGATATATGTTATAACTTAAGAACAAGATGTCATAGTTGAAGAATAAAGAGTGAAGGCAGAAACATAAATACCATACCATACTAAATAGAGCAAGTAATCTTACTTAATTTGTACAATACATTTAAATGATAACTTTTTCTATTTGCACTCCAGTCTGTATAGTTCTGCACAAATTATTGAATAACAGGCTTAGCGCTCAGACTGTGCCATTCTTCCGGATGCACCCTGGGCAACTGCACCTCTCGCCCTACCCTAACTATGGCTATGATTATATATAATACTAAAACTAATATTTTTTTTATTGTAAAAATTGTCTTTTCTCAGTTTTTTTAATTTTGATGTATTAAGTTTTTTCTTCAAGTGGAAAAAATTGCAGTAAATATGAAACAAAAAACAACAAAGGTCTATTAATTAAAGCCTTTAATAATGTTTTCTGGTTTTTCAATTAATAATGGCATAAAACACATACATCTAATATTCTGTCACTTAAAAAACAGAAAATAGGATCTTTAGATGCAAATCAAAAGAAGCAAGCTTGACAGCTTTGAGTTTCTACACAACATGTTTTCTAAGTTGCTGATTAAATGCATAAAAGACCCAATACAGAAGTGGCAAAGCACATTTTGTTTATATATAGTATCAGGGTATCATTTAAAAAATCCTTAATAAATATCTCCATCTACTTCTTGCAACCACCATAAAAAATTGAGAAGTAAATATAAATTATGCCTCTTTCATTCAAGAATGAACACAAATTATAACACAAAAACTGAAATGTTTAGACTAAATAGCTTAAATCTCATAACATTAATATATATTTATTATAATGACTTTTCAGCTGTGCCTGGCTAACAATAAAGAAGTTACAATGACACGGTTCAGGTGCACTCATGTTACTGTATCCAATAACATAAAACTGACCTTTGGTCTTTACAAAGTAACTTGTCTTGGCTGTACTTTAGTAGACTAGTATTTTGTAAAATACAGTCGC